ATTTTAAAATAAGCCAATGAAAAAGGAGACGTTGAACTTCATATGTTAACATAGTATAAAAAAATGAAAAAATGTCTCGTAATTCAAATTTTGTAGTTTAAAAGTAGTTTAAATAGTTAAAACGACGTCATTTTGGCCATTTTTATGTTGTTCTGTACTCAAAACGATATCGTTTTGACCATTTAAGTCACTTTTAAATCACAAAATTTGAATTACGTAACATTGTCAAAAAAAATATATGTATACTATTAATGGTAGATTGAACTTCTGGTACTTCGGACTTTTAATTTATTCAAAAAATATATACACTCATTCAGATAATTCTATTTTCTCACCACTCCTTTTCTTTGTACCCACCATTTTTATTTATTTTTTATTAAATAAGATTACATTTTTGGACAAAATCTAATCCCTAATTTCTTATTGCACACAGCCCCACCACCATCCACTGCAATTATAGCCACCGCCGCACCTCCAGCGCCACATTTCCCCTCACGGCGCCCTTTACGCCTCCCTACCTCCCCCTTTATTCTTCTTTCCAGTTCTTGAAACCTTAGACCGATTGATCGATCTCTCGCGCCTGCAACTATGGATCTCGATTTCTCTTTATTGCTGCGAGTTGGAGGTCGCGTTGGGTAGGGTTGTAGCAGTGGTGCCTTGCGACGGTGAGGGCTATAGGGATGGTAGGTTGCGGGGTTAAGGGTTGCGATTCCGAGTAGTCGGGAGGAGCTAGGATTGGTGACGACAGCCAAAGGTGGAGAATGCCTTTAGCACACTTATCTCTGCTCGCGCATCCTTATACATGCGTTGGAGCAGAGCCAGTTGGGCGTTTAACTGCTGCACCTCATTTGTCCTACTCTGCAGCCGGTGCGACAGGTTTGTGACCGCCGTCATGGTCTCCACACATGACTTCAAAGTATACTGATTGGCCTCAATATCAGTTTGCACCGCCATTTTTTGCTCCACCGACCGCATCGGAAAGTTCAACGGAGCAAACTCCGGGGCGCTTGGTTGAGGTTCCAGTGCCACCGCACCAGTTATCTCTCTTGTTGACTCGTTGAGGTCGGGAAAGAGAGTGAGCAGACCACGGGACGAAGAGGCCATATTCTGGGTAGCTGAACGGGAAGACGAGGCCATGTTATGGGTTGCTGAGTGTTTCAGAGAAGGGTTGGTTACAGAGTGTTTACAGAGTGTTTCAAGATTTGCAGCTCTTAGCGACAAGCTCTCAGAGAACGAAGAGGTTTCAACTGGTTTGTTATGCTTCCAAGCCTCAGCCTCCGCTTCGGTTTATAAAGACCATGATGAAGAGGCAGACACGCGCATCATGCGCCGCTAGGCGCTAGACGACAACATGGGCGCGCCTTTTGATGGCACGCCTTTTTATGGATTGGGCACGCCTTTTGAAAGATTGGGCACACCTTTTGAGGGTGCGCTCCTTCATGGGTCCGACAAGACTCTGTAAACTGTCCCGACATTAATTCCGGTTAGCTCCTTCATGGGTCCGACAAGACTCTGTAAACTCTCCCGACATTGATTCCGGTTAGCTTTTACATGGGTCCGGCAAGACTCCATAAACTGTCCTGACATTAATTCCGGTTAGCTGCTACAACGGTCCGACACGACTATACAGTGTCTTCTACAACGGTCTGACACGACCATACAGTGTCTCATATCCTATTTTTATTTTATTTTTCTGTTTTGTTACTCTCTCCAAACTCAAGTTGGTTGGTTCCTATCCTCCTTCCTTGAGTTTGAGGGGGCTGTTAGAATATAATATGTAAAATGTTGCTTTAATAATTAGGTTAGTATAATAATTAGTATGCTTTAATAATGTACCTTTAATAATGTTGTTTGGTTTGTGCTTCTACTTTCGGTTTGTAATTGTTCTCCCTCTCCTCTATAAAGGAGAGAGCTCAACACACCATTATAAACATCTATCAATAATACATATAATTTATTCTCTCTCTATTTCTCTTTATACATTAAATTTTACACAAATGCCCCAAGGTTTTGCTTAGTGTAGATGCACTTTCATACGCTTTTTATATTTTCCATGCTCGAAACGAATGAAATTTTTATCGCTCTTTTGTAAGTTGGTTTGAGCATGGAAGTATCCATTTTTGTTGTTACAGATGGTTGTGTGATATAATTCAAATTATGGTAAGCAGCTTGTTTAGGAAGAAGGAATATATGGGGAGTGACTGAGTATTTGGGGCCCTTTTTTTTTTTGGATAAATAAATAAAATTTATTACGAAAAGCATCAAGAAGATGCTAAGGAATACAAAACTGGAACCCCACAGAAAAAAGGGCTACACCTAACCAATCAAATCATCTACAAAATCCAAAAAGTCAAACGAAACCGGATCCACCCTCCCCAACACCCAACTATACAAAACACCAAAAAGCCGACTCTCAAGCCAAGATAGTGGCTGAGCATCCCCCTGAAAAATAGGCCGATTCCGCTCTAACCAAATCAACCACATCAAACATAGAGGAGCCAAAGCCTAAGCCTTCCTACGCCTCTTCCCAACCCTACCCCCTCCCCAACTCCAAAGCAACTCCATCACCCTTTTCGATTGGACCCACACTAAAAACGTAGAAAAAATAAGAGTCCAAAGCTGAGCAGCCACCGAACAATGAATAAGCAAATGATCCACTGACTTTGCATTCGCACGACACATACAACACCGATTAACCAAAATATGATGACGACGAATCAAATTATCAATGGTAGGAATCCTACCAAACGCTGCTGTCCACACGAAAAATGCCACCTTCGATGGAACACTTGTAACCCACACACGACGCCACGGGAACTCCACCGCCATATCCCCACACAAACTCCGATAGTATGACTAGACTGAGAAAACACCTTTTGATCCCAAACCCCTCCACACCAAAGCATCCTCTCCCACCTCCCTGACCTTTAACTACATCTGTTTGGGAGAGTGGTCTCTAGCCTAGCACTAAATTTTTAAGTTCATAGAAGGATACCTGGAACGTGTCATGTGAACCCCATAATTTTAGAATTGCAACCTGTTATTTACATACTGAACAAGTCACTAAGAAATGCATTCTTTTTTGCTGCAACAGATGGCCAATTCTACTTCGGGTAACTCAAACCTTCTCATAATGGAAAACTCTGGTTGGGGTGATGTCGGAATTTCTACAGATATTTCATGCGGTTATAACATGCAATGTGACAATCTCTTTGGAATCCATCCTTTCTACATTGCAAAAGGTAAATGTTATGTTTTTCTTTTAATTATACTGAAATAGAACTTCAAAATGGCAGATGTGATTGCCATGAGAATTGAATGACAATGTATGCCCTTGTCGATTCATGTTGGGGGCTTGTTATACATTGCAGCATGATATGTAAAATAGTTACCCACAATCACTGCTAATACTGATAGTTGCTATGCTATTCTGCCCAAGCCGGGACGTGTAAGAGTTATGGGGCATTAAAAAAAGCTGATAGGCCAGACATACTATGTGTAAGGATTCTATCATTAATGATATATCTCAAATACGTCTATCCATACATATCTAGAGATTTAGTGAGAGAGGATATGGATTTGGGAATGGCAATTTAGTGGAAAAATAGTGATTTGAAGCGGTAGTGACTAAATTGAGTCTCATGGTGGTGTGATGACAATTTTCAAAATATATATATAGGTCTAGAGAGAAAAGATGATGATCATAACAATGTTCTGGTGGTGTTGGGGTGAACCTGCTGATGGTGCATTGACAGCTTGGTAACCTGGGCAGGGTGATTGTGTGTGGTTATTTAAGAAAATAGTGCCATGGCTACATGATGATTTGGGAGATTTGTAGTGTAAGGTTGAGTCTTGATGGTTGGGATACGGTGAGTTAATTAGGGAGGGGGTTTCATTTGCCCAATAAATAGTTATACTTTCTGTAGAAGTCCGGTTCGTTTTGTTTTCTTCTATTTTCATGGGTTAATATATCTTATTTGATAAGTTTGTCAACCTTTGTTCTTTATTTTTTATTTTTATGAATATTCAAATAATCATTATCATTAAGGATTTTAATTGGATGATTTGACAAGTGTGTAAAAAGAATGTTCCTTTGCAAATGTGGACAATATTTTAAGTTCCAACTCAAACATTAACTAATGACATCATGTAATTTGGTTTCTGGTTGAAATGTGGCCACTTTCTTATTAAATCTGAGTTTGCACTCTCTATGTAATTAGAGGTAATCATTCATTTCTTAATTCTGTTTATTGATATTCAGGTGATGATCCTTTTGAGATTGAGCAGTTTGAGTTTTTGGCGCCAACCACTCGCAAAAATGCCTTGCGGGTTCTGCGGGCTTTGCAGCTTCCAAAGCCTGGTATCGTGGCTTTAAAGCTTATTTTTCAAACTTTTATTATATGTGTGTGGATATATATATATACATATGATAAATTCACACAATTCATTCACCACTGAAAATATTTAGAAAAACACCTAGCACCTTGAAACTTTTTTGACCTCTTAAATTGTGTCTATGTTTTTAGTTTTGTTGGAGGGAAGTCCAGGCGTTGGAAAAACAAGTTTAATTGTAGCCCTTGGCAAATTTTCTGGGCATACGGTTGTACGGATAAACTTATCTGAGCAGGTCATGATCATCTATATTCTTTTCCTGTGACTTTTTTAAGGGCTGCGCTCCACTTTCTTTGGTCACTTTACATCTGTGCGTCTTCACAGTGCTAATAACGATTTATTTGCTGATCTTGTACAGACTGACATAATGGATTTATTGGGCTCAGACTTACCAGTTGAGAGTGACGAAGGAATACAGTTTGCATGGCATGATGGAATCCTTCTGCAGGTTTAAAATGTTTGATCTTGGCTTTCTTTTCTTTTCAAATGGAGTATGAGTTTCATTCAGCTTTTTCGTTGTTGTTCTTCAGGCTCTAAAGAAGGGATCTTGGGTTCTGCTGGATGAACTTAATCTTGCTCCACAGTCTGTTTTAGAGGTATTGTCTTGTTCTTGTTAATGTTGTCCTGCATATGTTTGTTAATATATCTCTTGTAATTATATATAGCCATCTCCTAACATATTTATCCACATTAGGGTTTAAATGCAATCTTAGACCATCGAGCTGAGGTTTTCATCCCGGAGTTGGGTGTTACTTTTAAGTGCCCATCATCATTCAGAGTTTTTGCATGTCAGAATCCTTCTTATCAGGGTGGAGGCCGTAAAGGGCTTCCAAAGTCCTTCCTTAACCGTTTTACGAAGGTATTTCCTTTTCATCCCATGTATGTAACTCTTTTATTTTTATATTTTTTTTAATCTTGTTGACAGCAAGCTCAATATGGATACATAACATTAGTAGTGATATGGTGCCCTGTTATTTGTTTCAGGTTTATGTGGACGAGTTGACCGAGGATGACTATCTTTTCATCTGTAGTTCACTCTATTCCTCAATTCCAAAGCCCTTGCTTTCCAAGTTAATTTTATTTAATAAGCGACTACATGAGGACATTATGTTATATCATAAATTCGCTCAAGTGGGTTCCCCTTGGGAGTTTAACCTACGAGATGTGATTCGTTCTTGCCAAATTATACAAGGTTATTGCCTTTGTTTTTGTTTTTATTTTTTTTTCTTTGAAAGTAAGCTTACATTCTTCAAATAAAGCTGGCTTCCTAATCTGTTTGGCTATGTGTTTAGGTGCACCTGAAAGATCAAAAATTGACTGTTTCCTCAACACTATATATGTTCAAAGAATGCGTACAGCAGCTGACCGTAGAAAAGTTGTCCAACTTTATGAGGAAGTATTTGGACAAGTGCCATTTTTGACTCCCTACCCACGAGTGCAACTCAATCCTCAGTATTTGGTTGTTGGCAACACTCACATCAGAAGGAATCATTTTCAGTCATCTAAAAACAGTGAGCTTAAAATTTTGCCTGGAATACGGCATAGCTTGGAGGCTGCTGCACTTTGTGTACAGAATGAATGGTTGTGCATATTGGTTGGTCCTTCATCTTCTGGCAAGACTTCATTGATAAGGTTGCTTGCCCAGCTTACTGGCAATGTACTAAATGAGATAAATCTTTCGTCTGCATCGGACATATCTGAGTTACTTGGATGCTTTGAGCAATATAATGCCTTCCGCCATTATCAATTTGCTGTTACTCGAATTGAGTGTTATGTGAATGAGTACTGCAGCTTGCAACTGGAATCTTCAGTGAAGGAATTCATAGAGAGAAGAAAAGACGTAATTACCTGTTGGCTTGCCTTCCTATCAAGCATTGGTAGAGGTCCCATGACTACTACTTCTTCCTCATACACTGATAATTGTAAGTCAAGGACCTTTGGTTCTATTCATTTGTTAGTTGAGATAATTGAGCATCTAGAGTTGGACATGGAGTCAAACAGATTGCCCGTATCATGGTCATGCAAGGATCTGGATAGAATTCTGAAAATTATAAAGTTGCACGAGGAACACAGCCAAAGGCTATATTCAGCAAAATTTGAATGGGTAACCGGAGTACTGGTAAAGGCTGTTGAAAATGGTGAATGGATTGTTTTAGAGAATGCAAATCTTTGCAATCCCACGGTATGTAGATATTTTTTTGTTGGTTTGGGGAGTTTTTGTTGTTTCTCTATTTTGTGCCCATTTTAGCGTCAACTTGTAAACAAAGTTTTACATTTGCCTCTCTTATGATGAATACAGGTTCTTGATAGGATCAACTCTTTGGTTGAGCCGCGTGGATCAATCACAATTAATGAGTGTGGAAGTGTAGATGGCAAGCCATTGGTTCTTCATCCCCATCCCCAATTTCGGATGTTTCTCACAGTTGACCCTAGCTATGGTGAAGTGTCCCGGGCAATGCGAAATAGAGGGGTTGAAATATATATGATGCAGCCATGGCTGCTTGATGGTGGAGGTGGTGACAGTTGTGTTGAGAGTGAACTTAAAGATGTGAAAAGATTTCTCATTCTCTCAGGTATTCCTATGGGTATGATGGTTGATTCGATGGCCAAAGCCCACATCTATGCTAGAGTTGAAGGATTGCGCCTTGATATTAAGATTACATATCTTGAGCTTGCGCGTTGGGTGCAGTTATTCCAGCGGCTTCTCACCAATGGGAATTGGCCTGAATGTAGCCTCCAAATAAGTTGGGAACATACATATCTTTCATCTCTCGGTGAGGCTGAAGGAAAAGATATTGTTAGTCATGCGATAATTTCTTATCTATCAATGGATGAACTCTACAAATTTGAGTCGTCTCCAGGACGTTCATTGTGTCTACCGGGAGGATGGCCAACTCCGTTGAAACTAAGAGATTATGTATGTTACTCAAAAGAAGCTTCTGTCAAACAAAATTGCTTGTATCTGGAGTTTTTGGGGTCTCAGAATGCATCTCATATATTTCATTCTGCTTGGGATCGGAGCCCAGTGGAACAAGCTCTAAGTGTGATTGGATCTATGGGGCCTTACTTGATGGATATGAAGATATTGCATGTTATGATGTTTCCAAACTTTGCACATGAGTTTACTTCTAAGTATGGTGGGCAGATAGAAATTGATTCGGCACTTGCTGGAAAAAAGCTTTTGTTTGCTGCCAACTGGACAATTGAACAGGCCACTGAAAATGATTTAGAGTTATACCTTCTCTGGTTTAGTTGGTTTGCTTCTCAGGTACAGCCTTTTTGCAAGTTCTTTAGTTCTTTTCTGAATCTACTTAAACAGGAGCTCAAGCATCGTATCTGGAATTGTATTGTGCGTTGCCGCCATGAGCTTCTGTCTCATAATCAAGTAAATTTAGACTCCAGGCCAATACCAATGCTTTCCACGGAAGTAGTTGATTTATTTGCATCAAATGACATGTCAAAATCCTCCAGTGAACTTCTCTGTAAAGCGATTAACTGTGCAGGCCTATTAAGGGCTAGCTTTCAACAATGGAATGCTGAGAGTGAACATGACTACTGTGACGAAAATCAGTGTTTTATATCTGTTTTGGAATCTCTAAGAAGGGTGGAAGAGAAAGTGCTTGATATACTGGTTGAGTCGCCTTCTTTCGATTTGCTTTTTCAAATATACACAGACCTCCTTGAAGATCACATATCATTTTGGAATGGCATCACCTTGTCACAGTTTGAGATGTCTTTAATTTCTTGGCGTTCTTTGACAAAGAATGCATCAAAATTGCAGAAATTCTGTCCAAAAGAAGTTGCAGGTTTACAGGTTTGCTTGTTTGATACACCCACTCTCTTTCTTTACTTTACTTGTTACACTAGGGTACTTCAAGGTGAGTACATATGAATATTGTGCAATATAGGTGGAAGGCAAGAATTTGGGTAGTGTTTCATCTTGGTGTCTCCATTCACAAAAGTCCTTGCTATGGGTTCATGGAGGCCATCCATTTTTGCCTTCTTCTGCTGATTTATATCAGAAGCAGCGACAGATTTTAAACCTTTGTGAATTGCTTTGGCCGAGAAACACAAAATCGTTGAGGCAAGGTGGGTCTTTGATTTTTCTTCTATTGTGGTTGCTATGCTTATTATTATTTTTATAATTTTTTCTGACCATTTTTTTGTTTTAAATTGATTTTTTTTTTTACAGTAGCTGTGAATGGTTCTATTATTGAGGCTGCTGTATCATCAAATACTGAACTTCGCTCCCTTGCAATGCAAGGTATAATCTTCACATTCTTTAGAAACTATTCTCACTCATTTGACTTAGTGAACTCCCACTGCTATTTGTAAGTTTGTGACTTATTTGCTCATTGTAATTCTTGTCTCATATATAGAACAAAATGTCCTATCCGGTTGTTCGTAGAGCTATTTACGATGGCATTGCAAGATTAATTTTTTTTTTAATTGTTGTCATATTCACCATTATAGTTATAATATGATGTGTTACCTTTATCAACTAATAGTACAGGAATCAGCTTGTCCAAAACAATACATAGGGTAAGGCTGCCTACCTACTTCCTCTCCCAGTCCCTGTTGTACAATGGGAGCATTGTACACTCGGTACAACCTGTACCAACTACCATTCACATCCTGTTACCGCTCATATTTTTCAGTTCTTTTCATAATTTTGTAATGTGACGTGTATGCATGCATATATTGCCTACTTTACATGGAAATATGAGTTGTTTCGTGACACAAGCAAATATCAATTGCTGTAATGATGAGTCAGAAAATGTAAAAAAATAATCAATGTATAAAGAGAAAAATACAGAGAGAATAAATGTATCTGATGATCTTATTATTGATTGATCTTTGATGTGTTGTTGTTATAATTGATATTACAAGGATTCCTATTATATAGAAGAGGATTTGGGTAGTAGGTGAGTGTGTGTGGTAGGTGTAGGAAAGTAGGTGAAGTAGGTGAGTGTGTGTGGTAGTGGAGGTGGTAGGTGGAGTGGGTTATGGTAAATTCTAACAGCCCCCCGCAAACTCAAGGAGGATAGAAACTAACCAACTTGAGTTTGAAGAGAGGAACAAAACAAGAAAATACATAAAAAAAAAGGATAGGAGACACTGTATGGTCGTGTCAGACCATTGGTGAAGACACTGGATGGTGGTGTCATAACGTTGTAGAGGACACTGTATGGGGGGGTCATAACCATGTAGAGGACACTGTATGGTGGTGTCAAACCACAGTTTAAAGAGTCTTGCTGGACCCTTGTAGAAACTAACCGGAATCAATGTCGGAA